AATCGCCATCTACTCGTTTGTCCTCGTTTGTCATTGTCTCTGATTTAATTCAAATATTTTTAAATATCCGATGTCAGGGTTCATAAAATAACACGCAACTTCGTTTGTTTGAACTATTATATTATTCAGTTATTTTAAAAGCAGAAACTCATAACCTTGCAAGAATTTAAGATTTTAACTGAGAAGAATTCGCATACCTTATCCCAGTCTGTTTATAAGATCGTTGGAGTGAAAAAGAGAAAACTTGTAATATATATCTATGATACTATAAAAAGAACATTATATTACGCCGATTGATACTACATCATGGCGACATATTGTGGTGATCGAAAACAGCGCGCGAAAATAAATTTTAATCAGCTCATGGCCAATCATCCATATTCCACACCACAATACGTCATGCGCGAACTTGTATCATGTAATATATCTCAAAGTTGAGAACAACAATTATATGATTAGGTACATCATTCAACGGCAGCATCATACAATGCGGATCAATCAAAGGCGGAGAGTAACAAAACACAACGGTTCTGTTTACTCAGTTAATTTATAAAATATTAATTATATAAGATCTTCTTGAGTTTCAACCAGTACAGACCGAAATAATTTTAAACTAGCGAAAGCTCCAGCCGTCTCTAGCTTAAAGAGACTCAATTAGACTGGCCACCTGGTGGTTGTCTCCTTTTGGTATCAAACAAATAAATGCATTAGGCTGACCTACTAGGACTACTTATACAATGCTATTACTAAGCCTCCACTGTCCGTCCGTCTGTCAGTGAGCTCTATCTTATGAACCGTAATAGGTAGATAGTAGACTTTTTCACAGAATGTGTATTTCTGTTATCGCTATAACAACAAATATTAAAAATTAAAGGTGGCCCCCTGGTGGAACGTGTTTTTTTTTGGCTTTTTTTTGGCTTTTTTTTGCTCGATCTTAATAAAATATTTAAAAATTACCTACATAGTATTAAATCTTGTACGATGGTGCGGAACCCTTCATGTGCGAGTCCGACTCGCACTTTGCCGGTTTTTTTTTAAAATTAGTTTTATAACTTGTCGTTTTATCTAATGTCTAATGCATTAAAATTGGAATTGTTTATTGCATGCTATAAAAAAACAAAATTGAAGCCCTAATGTAATTCAAGTATCTGAAGACTCTCTTGCTTATGTAATAAACAACTATTTGTATTTAAACAGGGTTGGTACATATTTCTTTTATAATGAAATCGTGTTACTAAGTGTTTCTTTATTATTTTGGGTTTTCTTCATTAGTTGGAAAGAACTATTAGGTATTTACTAAAATATGATTCACTTTTTATTAAAACATTTTTTTTGCCAAGATTAGTATTATAAAATATCATATTACATCATAAAGATTAAAGTAAAAAGTAAATTATTGTTATACTTACTTAAATATTATAAAATGTATGAAATGGTTCATTAAAAACTCATCATTTTATATTCAGTGGAATTTTGAAATTTACTTTAGAATTTTGAATTCACACCTACAATGATTATAAAATTTAGATACGAATGTTATCATTTTAATAGTGATGACATGACTTATTTACCTACAATATTTAAAATTGTTCTAAGTGAAAAGTAATAGTTATAAAAAATCCTATAATACTAATAGCTATTTATGCAACCAGTTACGAAATGCCTTATTTTATGCAACGAGTGAATATTTGTGGAACGAGCAGAGCGAGGTCCCGCAAAATGAACGAGTTACATGAAACGGCATTTAGACTAAATTATAAAAGTATGTTTGGTAAAAAAGAGACTTATGAAAGATTTTATAAAAAGAATATTTGGAAAATTGCAGAGAAAAAATGTGACATTTTATATAATTTGATTTATTTGAATGAACACAAGTAGTTGTTTCAAATATATTTAAAAAACAATTACAAGTGTTTTTGGTTACTTAATGAATTATAATTATTGTATATCTATGCAACCAATATTACGTTTTAGTCCAGGATCCGTAAGTAGGGTCGACCTTCACCCATCTGCTTAATGGATAAAACTTATTTTCTATTAAATAAAATATGTTTTTAAATATACCGCAAATGGGTTGCCTAAGAAAATACGGTAACGGCCATTTTTTACTTTCCTTTTTGTGTACAGATAAGTAAAGTATAAAAATCATGATAAAAGTTGTTTATGATGTCATTATCTATTATTTTGTTTCTATACATGATTTTCCTAAAATGAACCTAATTCGAGATATTTGTGGAAAAGTGCAAATTTCGAATTTTGAAGACAACTCAAAAACGGATAAAGAGAAAAACACCAAATTTTAAATTTAAGCTTTAATCCATCCTGCGGTGAGCTGACTAAAGTTTGGGCATAGTTGAAGCATCTGGGAAATACTTTACAGGGTGTCGTTTTTTTTACTTTAAGAAAAAAAAATAGTCTGGACCATATTTTCTTAGGCAACCCATTTGCGGTATATTTATAAATATATTTTATGTAATAAAAAGAAACTTTCATCCATTAAACAGATGGGTGAAGGTGGACCTTACTTCGGATCTTAGACTATTTGTATTTTTAGTTGCATGACATAACTTACATAGGCATATTGGTATATAATATTTCAACAATCATAAATAATTTTTCTCTACCTGCCGATTCATTTTCTTATTAAAGCTTGTTAGTTTTCATGAATGTGAGTTATTTTGTCACGTATTGAGCAGTGGCGGCTGGTTCATAAATGCTGTAGAGCTGCAGAACTGCCAAAAAAAATTCAAGTATCTCATCTACATTCAACAAAAATTATTTTAGACATTCTATAATATACGTAAAATGGATATTCTCATCAATTTTAAGGAGGTCCTTTCGCCACCAATGTTAAATAAAAAATATTAGATTATGACTAAAATTAATTTTTTTCTAATAGTAGAAGTCCTATTTATCTAATAGTGAACTTTTAACTATACCTTACATTGCAAATTTTTGAGAAAATTTTTTTTTTAAAAATGTGTGTTTGTACAGTGTCTTATGAGAAAGTAAGACTTCAACAACAATTTTCGAATTATAATTAATTTTACTATTATTTATTGATTAGATGGAGTAGAAAAAAACTAAAAATAAGGTTTTTGAAATATTTAGGTTTTGTTTTTTACAATAAAATATATAGGTTACCGTGGAATTTATTGAGAAATTATTATTAAAAAATCACAAAAAATTTTCAACTAGGTTACTTGAACATTTTTTGTGATTTTTTAATATTAATTTCTCAATAAGTTCCACGGTTTACTATATATATTTTATTGTATAAAACAAAATCTAAATATTTCAAAAACCTTATTTTTAGTTTTTTTCTACTCCATCTAATCAATAAATAATAGTATAATTCAAGAATTGTTGTTGAGGACTTACTTTCTCGTGAGGCACTGTACAAATACATTAAAAAAAAAAATTCTCAAAAATTTGCAAGGTAAGGTATAGTTAAAAGTTCAGTATTAGATAAATAAGGACTTCAACTATTAGAAAAAAATTAATTTTAGTCATAATCTAATAACTTTTTTTTTAACATTTGAGGCGAGAGGTGTGGCGAAAGGACCTCCTTAATTATTTATTAAATAGTAAATAGCCGTGCGTGCACTGCACCGCTTTTGGGCCGTTGCCCGCTCATCGTCTCCTATAGTTGTTGTTGTAGTAGTCTTGAGGCATATGCATATTAAATTATTATTTGGCTGTGTTATTTGTAAAATCGAAAGAAAGGCTGAGTATAGGGTTGCCAGATTTACGAAAGGGAAAAGTGGGACAACGGTGACGACAGGGGATCAGGTTAAAAAACAAGTATTTTTATAAAATAAGTTCCTTTTTTTGTAGAGATCTAGAAAAAGGTCCTCCGCTTACATTTATTTAAACCATCAGGTTACTTTTTCTGAGGAGCTAGTTGTAAATTCGTAAAATAAGATATTCAGCGTTGCCGTATTTACGGATTTCTTTGCAACCCTAATATTTTGTTTAGATTAATATTGATTTTTAATAAAAAATTTAGCTTATATTAAAACATTAAAGAATAATTTGATTAAAAACATATTTCTATTTATATAATATAAAATTATAGTTATAGGATACATCAAATTTTATTTTTCGAAAGTAATTTCTCCAAATAATTTTTACAGATTGATAAAACCGGCAAAGACGCAATAAACGAGAATCTGGTGAGAATAATGATTTGCCACATAAAAATGTAAACAATTTGGTCTCTTAGTTGTAATGTCTTTGAAAAGTTAGAACTGTAAAAATCAAAATATTAGGTCATGGAGGAAGGATTATCAGGTATTGACAGACAATATGTTGACATAAAAAATGTTAAAATAAGAGAGAACTTTTAATGAGCAAACTTTCTCTTTATTTAAATACAAAAGAACCAGTATACATATATTGTTTTCAAAATAAGATACATTTTATTAAAGGAAGTTCAGAATGAGTTGCCATTAAATATTTATTATTATTTGGAATTTAAAAAGCCATAATATATTTTTAACCCTCCAAATGTATAAAAACTTAATTTAAGTCGTCTCAAATATTCAAAATTGTAGGCGGAATACTAAAAATGATACAGTTTGAATCAGTTTTTTGTGTCTTTTCAACTATGTAAATGTATTTAATAATGTAAAGGGTGATATTTAGAGAATGCAACAACTTGATTTTTTGTTAATCCGGGCCTGATATTCTGGCTAGTTTGTTAGTCGTTTGGTCACTCTGTAAGGAAAATATATGTAGGTACTAATATCAAAAATATATACTGGTTAGTTTGTTAGTTATCCATTAAATCCATTAAATATAGTATATTTAAAACTTTAGAACTACTCCGATGATCTCCTATCAACCTTTAAAATATCTTCCTTTAAACACCTTGTATTTGCGGCTTTTAAGCTTAAATTATTTGCGATTAAATGTTCAATTGTTAATTGAAGATTGTCTTTTATAATCCAATTTACCTTGATTCCATGATATTCAATTGAATTCGTACTTTTTTTCAGAGCAATTTAGTAAACCGACCGCAATCAACTTCGATCACTGGCTTAATTGCACCCGTTTCCGGCCAATCTTTGGGTCTGCAACGAGCTCAAGTTACTCATGGAGTTCGCGAATTGACCTTATGCAAAGATCAAGATGGGAAGGTCGGCGTCCGCGTTAAAGCTATCAACAAAGGAATTTTCGTGAGCGTCGTTGTTGATAAATCTCCCGCTGCTCTTGCTGGTTTGAGGTTCGGTGATCAGATATTGCAGATTAATGGAGAAAATGTTGCTGGTTTTTCCATGGACAAGGTTCGTATTGTTTTTTTTTTTTTAATAATAATAATAATAAAAAGTATTTCATGGTGAAACTATAGCTGAATGCATTCAATATTTATCTATGATTAGCGATTTAAATTAGATTTTCTACTTATGTATCTGTGATTAGCGATTAAAATTAAATTTCCTACTTATTTAAGTAGGTTTCTAGAAGTAAATATTTTATATAATGTTTTATTTTTTTGTCTTATATCTTAAATGCGGATTTTGTGTGTTTACATTCGCCAAGGAGAATATTTATTGAATGCGTATATTACAAGGAAAATTATTGTTTTTTTTTTTATTTAACAGAATACAAACATGTTCTATAACTTTATTACATTGTCTTTAGGATTGTACAATAGGTTGGTGCGAAAAATTTCAAATTAATATTTTCGATTCACTAGACTTCGGAAAAGTTTCCTTGGATCTTAGGAGTATACTAGCATAACAAAACAAAAATTATCGTAATTGGGCAATACCTTCCGTTCTCGAAAATCGTCGAAAGTTTTAAGAAAATGACAAAAATTGGCGATTTTTTCGTATTTTTTTTTTTTTTTAATATTTGGAAAGTTTGTATTTTTTAGTGCTATAGTGCTAAAACGTTAGTACTATTATTGAATATTCCGAACAAAATATATATCTCTGCTTTCAAAGCATATTTTCCAATCGCGCAAAATGTCTGAATATTCGTAAAAAAGGAAATTTTTAATTTTTTCTGCCGAATCTGTCTACTAAATGATCCTGGACCAGTTATTACAAAGAAACTTTACTCTCTATAGCAGGCCTGCACAAATCAGATTTTCAAAGGGCCAGATTTGAAAAACCGTAACTATACGAGGGTCGCCAAGAGAGGCCTGAGCCTACAATAGTCGGTTCAGATTTCTAAAAAAAAAAGGTCGACACTTTTCATTTAAAAAAAAAGGTCGTCTGCTTATAATGTATAACCCATCCTGCTGCTGAAAAAAAGGTCGTATGCCTAAATTACTATTTTAGTGTAGTGTAGAGGTAAACCCCTGGGAAAATGTTGTACCCTAATACACATTGTGCCCCAAATAGTACACGCAGGTTGATGAACTAAAATAAAAGGTGTCACATTGGTTTCCGATATTAAAAAAAGGTTGTTTGCACATATTCCTCAACAAACATTTTTTTTTCTGAGTCAGTATCGCTGGATTGTTGGCAATCCTACACAATTAGTACAAAATAGTACACATAATACAAATTATTGTTCATTATTGATTCTCCGTCCAACTGCATAAATTTTAATACACTAAGATTCCATTTGTATAATTTAATTTATTAGCCCATCGTCTTAGAGAAGACAAACCAGGAAATGGAAAATATAATTGCTGTTTTACACACAGATATGCCTTTTTGCTGTAATATTGCAAGGTAAAAGCAGATGCAGCTTCTTCAAATGTCCAGTCAACACGTTTATTTTTCGTTTTTTTATTTTATTATCAATAAGTCCTTTTGGTTTTTAGGAAAAACATTTTTCTTTGTATTTAGTTCTTTGTTTTGTTTGAATAGTCTCTAATATTTGCTTTAATAAAAATTTAATTTCTTTACTTGTGTAAACATATTGGCCTTTAAGCTTATTATATTTTTGCTCCTGCTTAATACTTTCAGACACTGTTTTCGCTTTCAATTGTGCTTCTTTCATTAACCTCTAAATGTGTATATAATATAATTAAAGAATCATCCACCCTATTTTTCTGTTCTCTTTTTAAAATTCGACTTGTCCGTTATTTCTTTTTTAAAGTTTTATCTTCACTTTCATTATTCCCAAGAATTAATTAATCTTTAATCGCCTCCTCATTGGCAAACCCAATTATACAATAATTCATTATGAAGATCACTTCATAATCATTGCCGATAAAATGGACAGAACAAATCTGGCTTGATGTGGGATTCCATTTATCGGCTCTACGGCACTTCCGAATCCACGCTTGTTTTATTTCGTGTGAAACAAAATGTTTTCCCAATGGAAAATCATGATAAATTATATCTGGTTTATCTATTTTTGTTTTCACACGGCTGTTGTTACAATTACTGACCACTGTCTGTCTAGCCTAAAACCCTAAAAGTCCAGTCAATTAAAAAGTTACAAAAACAATCCAAAAAATACTAAAAACCATGTAAAAACGTATAAACAACACAAGAATTTATAAATATTTGGTTCGGCAATGACGTAACAAAGTGAAACGTACATAGTGTATGGGATTGGCCAATCCTAATAGAGAAGTTAAGTATCCTTGAGTTGTTACCCCATTTAAATATAAAGGTTCTTGAATGATGGAATAATGTTCATCTTTTTTTGTTCGACAAAACTTCTTTAATTATTGATTAAAATTAATAGCCAGATAATAATTATGTTTTGATTTAAGCCGTTCATATCTCATCATTAGAAAAAAAACATTACATTTTATCGTTGATAGCTAAAATATTACTTCCGCTTTTGTTTAAAGATAAATAATCTTTATTGTACATTTTTAAGATAAAATAGTGTGTAAAAAATGTAGGACTATTAGGAATAATTGATTTCAAATGTGTGCGTTTTTTTGTATAGTGGTCTTGATCTTAGATAAATTGGCTAGAACTAATGTTGTTGAGACGAACCTAAAACTATTTAAACTTTTAAAAAATTACTACATTACATTTATTAATGGATGATCTTAAAATGTATGTATGGATATGAAAATGAGTCCTGCAATGCTTCCAATCAAAATTCTCTCCTTAAGGGGGGATTAATTTGATAAGAAATGTCTAAAATAAAATTTAGTTGTACATATACAGTAGAACTTCGATTATCCAGGCCAGCTGGGATCGAGCCTTTGCCGCATAATCGAAAACACGGATATTCCAAAAACTTCATTATTTAGACAAATACTTATGCGAAAGAAACAAAAGAAACGTAATGCATATAACAGAAAGTAAAAGTTTTAATATTTATCCATAATGAAAGAACGTACATTGAATGTACAATACATAATAATATATTAATATATCTGGTTCAAAGTTAATTTAGTAACGTATTTTTTGTTTTCAAAATTGATTAATCAACGTTTGATGGGTCATGATCTGGGAATTAAAAATGTTTAAGAAAATCAAAATATTTTTAAAAAAGAATATGTATTGGATTATTGAATGTAAATCTGTAATAAAAACATAAAAAAAGGAACAAGGTAAAATTTATTTCACATTATTTAAGAAAAAAGACTATATAGCAGAGTAAGGGTGGAAGCAGTTATAAGTTGATATACGAGAAATAAACCAAAGTGTGCGAAAGCAGAGAAGGACAACGAAGTGTGGCAAAAAATAAAATTTTAGAAGATACATAAATTTTATTGAAATACATATTTTTTTAGTATCAAAATTAAATGTAAGTCCATCAAATGTTCGAGTGGCCATGAGTGGGTTACATCGAGATAGAATAAAGTAGAGACGATCTAAACATTATTTTGCCATATGACACATGGACGCACTTCGAGTGACGGAAAAGTGTAATGAAAATGGCTACTTGAGTCGTACTTTGATTTATTTGAAGTCAATAATTTTATAAGTGAAGACTGACAGAATGAAAATGATTTTATATCATTTAAATAAAGCTATTTAAAAAAATGACATTTATTCTAACCAAAACTGACTACCCCCCACTAGCTCGAGTTTGACATATGACGTAAAAGTGTAATGCAAAAGAGCGGACACATTTGCATCGTCATATCATCTCCTCTTTATTCCATCTCAATGGTAGGTAACCAGAGTTCATGCACTAACCTGTGGCCGCCAGCCACGGATAATCCCCGCACGGATGATCAATTTAAAATGCCGCACGGAAAATACGCCGCACGGATAAAGCGGGCACGGATAATCGAGGTTCTATTATATTCCTTTTACTTTATCGAAATCTACCCTGGCTGCTCAAATTCAATGAATCTGAAATGTATTCTTGTAACTGTTTTCGTAGACGTAATTTTCCCACTCTCAGTGGCCCTATCCGCCTTTTGAGAATCACAATGCTGCTAATTATATTCAATGACATTAATATAACAGATATACAAGTTATTTACCTTATTCTGGCAATATTTAACTTTAGATGGTTTTTTAATCTCAACCGTTGTTGCTTACTAGCGCCGTAATACTTTGGTGAAAATGGATACAACGAAATTCTTCACTCTATTTCTTTATTCAAAAAGGTACATTATTAATTCAATGTCTTATAATGATCAACACTTATAATTGTAAATACAGAATTCGATATTTACTTGCCCATTCGAGGTCCTGTCTACTGACAATTTTGATAAAGATAAATAGTCTTTAACAAATCCGTTTCTATGATATTTTACAGAACAATATAAATGCACAAATCGCACTATCCTTCCTAAGTTGACAATGATCAGGGGTGTACACAAAACCCGACTCTAGATAAATATACAAATTTACATTGTTACAATTTAACAAGAGTTTTTACCTTTCTACTCCTAGAACAAACATGTTGAATTTCCCTCAAATAGAATATGCATCGATTCTTATGAAAATACTAAAAAGATTGACCCGTTCTTGTCATTAAATTAGTTTAAGAACAAAATCAAAATTACGCTGTTTTTTGGTATCTCAATTTATTTTAACTCAACTTTACAATAATTCAACTATATAACTGATAACATGAACGTATAACGTCTAACTGGCACTCTGACATCAGGATCACCTTCTAGAACCTTCCCGAAACGTCCAGATGTTTTTTGACGTGGAATGACATTTTTCGAATATTCTTCCATCTTCTTTCACTCGCACCTTTACTTATGACGACCGCAGTACATTGCAAGGTGATGGGTAACAATACGATCCCCGTCCCGTTACAATTGGCGTACGTACTAAAATATTTAATTTAATATAAAAGATGTTTGAACAGCAAAATGGCGCTGCATGTTATGCATAAAAAAAAGCGTTAAGAGCAAACATGACGGGCGCTCCTCCACCAAAAATCAATT